TTGTCATAAGAATAATTTTAATAGAAATTTTTACACCGAGTTTACAGTGGAAAGTGAATAATTTCCCCACCAGCGGGCATGCATATCTCAACTGCACCACCTTCTATGTAGATTTTATCATGGGGCCTTTTGTTCTTCCAGCACAAGCACAAACTGTATGAGTGAGGAGGCTGTGCTTTTACAACAGGCAGGTGTGTAGACTCCTTTCCAGATGGCAGTCTAAAATAGAAACTTCCCACAGTCCCTTCTCAGTAAGAGGCAGGAGTGATTACATTTTGCCATCTTTCATTATTGGCCTCACGGTGCACAACAAATGTACTGTGTATGATTCTTCGTAGGGATTTATACACCTGAGAAATAGGTTGCCATATATACACTATTTATTAATCAAATGCTAATGTGGTATGTCATGATCACACGATATGAATTCCTCTAAAATGACATTTTCTCCTGCCATCAAAGACAGCAACATTTTTAAAGATTAAATGATTTTTCTTCCTTCTGCTCCACCTCCTCCAGATGTAGACACACACACACACAAATGACATACATACAAGTGGCTCTCCAGGTGTGTTAGGCCAACCAAGTAGGAGGTGAGACTGATGCTGTTCTCTTCACTGCTCCCTATTTCCTGCAGTCAGTGTTTGTTTGAGAGGGAACTCATAAATAACTGTCACTTTTCCTCGCCACTCCACTCCAGTTGTTTCAAACTACTGTGCAAAAAGATAGGCAGCGGGGGGAGCCTTATTCCCACTATGCTGTGTATATGCACATGCCTGTGTGTGTATGTATGTTTGTGCGTGCATGTGTGCATGTCTGAGCTTGATTCCAATTCAAATATGCTAAAAAGTTAGTATTCTGTCAATCCTGTCAACATACAGTCACACTCAGACACACGTCTCAATGCTTCCCTCATCCCGTCTCTACCTTTATCCTTCATTTCATTTATACTCATTTTTTCTTTCTCTTATACCCCTCCTCCTCCTCTTTCTTCTCTCCCTTGCAAACACTATCTGCATTATCCCGGGCTTCTCAATTATCTGGCCTAATGCATGCACCACTAAGATTAGTTTGCAAATTTAATTAATTCTTATCAAGGAGACTGCATAGCAGATGCTGGGGCAATTAGCACTTAATGGAAAACACGGGGGCAGCAAAATTAACGTTTTAATTCCACAGGGATTTGGCAAGTCCCTGAGACGTGTTATTTCTGTCTGCTTTTTCACACTTCAGATCTTATTTTTCAAAAGCACTGCAGTCTCCCAACCTGAACCAGACCAGAGAATACGTGTCTGGTTTTAATTAAAAGAAAGAGGTGATGCAGCTACGCCAGGCAGACTACCTGGCTGCTGAGATAGGGGTGACGCACACTCACACACACACACAAACACACACACTACAAGTGAGATGTTGCGAGTGAGATATGTTACTCACCCTGCCTGTTTTGGAGGTGCTTTAGTGCTGGGGAGAGCGGGATGCTTGTAGTACCTGTATGAAAAACAACTGCAATTAAAAGAGCTTTTTCTGCTGGTGAAAATGCAGCACAGTATTTTGCCGTCAGCAGCAGCATCTTTCCTCTGCAGGGTATTGGAGTATGACTGCAACATAATAGTGCTGGGACTGGGGTGGAACCAGGGCTGAGCCAGATGACTCTTGGGATGGGCTCTATCTAACATGCAGTATACAAGAAGGCCCATGCAAATGTAACACTCCCACCTGCTTCCCTCTGGCTACAAACTGAGCCAAACATAAAAACCATGGTCAAGATTTTTTGTCTGTATTTTTTGTCTAAATGTCTGTATTTGATTCACTTTAGTAATAAGTTTGTGTACTGTGCAAGAGGCTAGAAAACAATCACTATAAAAACTTGAGTGTGTGTTTCTAAGGACAGTGGAGACCAGTTAATCTCCAACCTCTGCTGCGCTGCTGCGGCCTGCCTTGGGCCAGGTGACTGCATTTTCACTGCAGCTTTAACTGCAGTGGCCTTTCATAGTGGTGACAGATGGATGGCATTTAGCCCTAATGACACAGAAGGCCTCCAATCCTTTGCCCTGATGGACCTATGGCTGTAAGGCCTCTGTTCTGGTAGCCAGGGTGAGGGCCCTGAAGACTGATGATGGCGACTGTGTGTGTTTTGTTGCAAGTCTGTGTGAGGTCAATCATGAAGACAATAGAGAGAAAGGGGGGTGCTTGGCTCTTACCAGCTTTCCTCCAGATTTCTTCTGGCAGGTATCCTGAGGGAGGCCTGTGTAAGAAGTCTCTGTGGATCTCTGAAACACACAACCAGGCGCACACTCAGTCTCAATTACACACACATAGTGATAGAATGTTAATCTGACACACATCTCCTATAGTTGGCTATTCTATTTGCATTGGGACCAATACAAACTATGTGTGTGACAACATCAGTAAATAAACTGTCATCAACTTTTCAACCATTTCTGTAAAGAAAAAATATGGGAGTAAGAAGTGAATGCAAATGTTAATTATGAATGAGCATGCTGGCAGCATAAGGGTGCAATCAGTTGGTTAAAGATCCAGGATGATGCAGCTAGATTTGTATTGCCTCACAGTATGAGCAAAAATCTGTAAATTTGCCGAAAAATACGATAATCTAACTGACTTTTTGTGTCTTAATTGATATATTACAGCATTTTCAGCATTTCAAATAAGCCCTACCTTGCTGTGAGTGTTTTGCTTTGCCAAACATACCCTGTGTGTGTTTGTCTACCTGTCTGTCTGCCTGTCTGCCTTTCAGCAGCCGAGGAAGTTCCTATGGGCAGTGACTCGCTGCTGCTAGCTGTGTTGGAGGAGGAGTTGTGGTGAGGAGGAGGAGGAGGAAGGCAGTGCTGTCCGTTGCTCCCACCTTTTTTCATCTCCTCCACGTCGCTGTAGCGCCGAATCCAGTGATTCATCTCCTCCCGGTCGGCCTCCTGGCAGCGGCGCAGCACCGTCAGAGAGCGACGCGTCTTCTCTACCATGTCCATGATGCAGTTCAAGAGCTACAGTGAGACAGGATGGAGGATGAATTAATGTATTTCGTTAAAGTGATGAATGAAGAGGAGAAGAACAGTACACCATTTTGTTGAAGGTAAATCTTTTAACCTCCCAAATACATGCCCAGGTCCCCCCAAAACTATCAACCCGAAATTGATAAATCGAACTCCACATGCCATAGTAACAAAGCCCTGACAAAAGGGAATAGTTACTTTTGGAGCCACTGAGCTTTAAATGTACACAATATTTTAATCTGTCCCAAAACACATACCACCTAGCAGATGTGTGTGTTTCTGTCTCTGCCTGTCTGTCCATGGATTGTGTGCTCGTCAGTGAATTTCAATGTCTATGAGCATTGACGATAATTTAACAGCTGGGCTGCTGATGAAAAAGTTGAGCCAATTCCTTCCACCCTTCTGCTCCGTTCCCTGCCAGCTCAACAGATTTCCTCTCTTTTCTCTCCTTCACCCCCCACCGTTGTACTAACGTTCACTTTTTTCCATGCGTGCCCTGTGTTTCCAGGACCGGCCCGGTCTGCTAAATGGGTTTAGTATGTTTGACATTCAATCCATATCATTATTCCCATTCATCTTTCCTTCTCTCTCTTTCTGTCTCAGCTCCTTTCCTCTGCCCCTCCACTCCCTCCTCCCCTCTGAGTTAGCTATATTTATTTCAGTGAAGTGTTTCTAATTTGGCAGGAGTCCAGGCCTGGCCGGTTCTCTCCATGACTGCAGCTCTTGTCTCAGCTGCTCTCCCCAGCTGGAGCTGCTCTCTGCTGGGTCCAGAGCTCCATCTGGGGCCCTGTTTCTGTGTGTGTGAGTGTGTGTGGTGCTGTGTGGTGTGTGTGTGTGTGTGTGTGTGTGTGTCATGTGTGTGTGTATGTGTTTGTAGAGTACGTGATTTTGTATACATAGAGTTGGGTGCCAGAAAGCCAGATAGGTGTCTGTCTGTGGTTAATTCACCAAACTGACACAGACCTCCTAAGGTCAGCTGTCCATCACCTGTTAACTCAGATGGGACGGAGGCTGTTTTGTCTGTCAACAGTTCCTGTCCCTGTTATCTGCATACCATCTTTAACACTAAAATTAGCTTGAATCACCTGCTGACCTTTTTTTTCTCCACTGCTTTATGATGTTTATGAAACAAACAAACACAAAACATGGCTATCATGCAGATGCGTACATTATCAAGGTGCTTCCATTCCTCTGCCCACTCTCGATCTGTAAGACGGTGGTCAATCACCTCCTCTTGGCGGGCTCCATGCACTGCTAAAAGACAAACACAAGGGTCTCTGTCAGATTCAGAACACAAACGGTATACAATATTTCTGATTCCAAGCAGCAAAATACTCCAGGGTTAACCATCTTTGAACAAAAACTGGGTGTTTGACAATGGGACACTGGTGAATTTCTAACCTTGAACCCAGTGCTGTACTGTGAGTAACTTATTGGCACATCAAACACTCAATCAATCAAATAAAACTTCTCAGGTCATCTGGTGGCTTTTTTTGCCTATGCTATTGCCTCATGTCAGCGAGACAGTTTGGCTAAGAATTCATCTCTTTCCTTTTGGGAAAGCAGAAGGAAGGCATATATGGTTGCCACAGTTGTAGCACATAGGCATGTATGGCTGTGGTCTTTATATAGACGCACTGCCACAAGGATTATCACACTGGACAGACAACTGGCCTTTGTTGTCTACATACACCCCACTTTCATATGCACAGGCCCAGGGTCTTGACCACTGAACTGAGGACTGTAGAGCAATAGATTTAGCTGATCCTGTAAATGCTTTGCAGCTGTTCTACCTGTCGGCCTGTGCCTGTCTCGGGCGTCACGGTGTTCATTATGTCTGTAAGCGTCCCTGTATTGGTGTGCCAGGGCCATGTCTTCTAGCCGGTAGTGCTGGGGTCCCATTTGGGGGTTGGGTGGGTGGGATAGTCCATTTGGAGGGTGTGTGGGCAGGCCATTGGGAGGCGGGTGAGCAGGAAGACCCGTGCTGGGGCTGAATCGTTGGCTGGGGCTGATGGTGCAGGGCCTCTTAGCCAGGTGCTCTGGGTGCAACCCATCTCTCTCTGAACTGTCTTTGGTCCTGTAGAGGAGGACATGGGAGTGGGTTAAAACATGATTTAATGTTAAAAAGAGAAAAAGAACCGAAATGAAAGCCAGGCAGTAGATAATGTCAGCACCCCACAGTACAGTATGAAAAAGTAGACCCAAAGACATGTTGGACACCAACTGCTGGCCTGCAGCGTTTTTCCAGCAGTGGTAAGTGTGGGATGTGTGGAAAATTATGATCTACAACAAAACAGATCTTTGTTGTACAGTTCAGTGTTTATTCCCCAATATGCCATGCACAGCCAGACTACATCTCATAAGCTCTGTATCCACTACCACATTTACCATTATTCTACAAATGTCCACCCAAGAATCGATTCAGCTGCTTCATATAAAAGCTGGACTGAAAAGTGACTAACCCCATTTACAAAAATATCTGCAACTGCATGGCTCATTTGTCATCTCAGCTTTACTCAGAAATTGATTTTTGACACCATGTTAATGTCAGAAGGAGGAGAATTAACTTTGTATGGCCTACTTCATTTTTCTCCAGCTAGTCCATTTATGGCCTCGCCAGACCACAATGAGTAATGTGAAAACTGTGGGATTTGCCAGGCTAAATATGCAATGCCAACGTATTACTTCATAGCTCAGAAAAAAAACATGTCCAGGCAAGCACCAGAATGCCCTTAAAATCTAATCAAGGGGCAAAAAGTATACTGTACAAACATAACAAACAAATAGATAGACATGATTCTTCTTCTGATGTCTGATGTAACTCATCAGCACAACTTAGAAATGTGAGATAGCAGCTGTGCTCTAATTCTAAACAAATGAAGGCAAAAGAGTCTTTAATGGGTCTCTAAATGCAAAAGGAGCCTTGTAACTTTGGAGTGTCTGAGTGAACAGATGAGAAATCACAGTGTGTATTGTGTGCAGTGTGTATTGTGGACTATACCTGTTTGAGGAGGCTCTAGCAAGGAACACAAACTTGTTTCTTTTAAAGTTCAACTCCCACATGGTGTATGCAAACATACACACATGTGTATTCCTACTAAAAGCTGCTTGTTGTTCAGTTACAGTGCAGCAGTGGTCCTCAAAAGCTCTTGCACAGCTGTACGCCATATGTACCAAACAAAGCCAAGTCTAACTGTACACCCTGCATCTCAAGCTCTTTATCTGAATATCCCTCAGCCTACTCTTAGATTGCAAGTATTTCTCCCCTTTCCCTCCCACCCTGCTCTCAGGCTTAAGGGGCAATATGGCTGAATACTGTGTGTTTGGCAGATGTTTAGTGACACTCATTTGCGTACTTCAAGTGAATGTGTGTGTGTTTATGTGTGTGTGAGAGGTTGGGTTTTCAAGCCATCTGGACAGTTTAAATGGGAGTGTTTATATTAATCTGTTTAGCTGGATGGCATTCGGATGGAAATCACTCTTTATCATCCTGGGGATCAAAGGCGAATAAATGCGCCGCTGCCCCATGTAGATGATGTGTGTTTATGTATGTGTGTGCTCATACTTATCCATGTGTATATTTGTGCATGTCGGCTATACTCGTACACATCCCTTGCTCTAGTATCTGACAAATCAGAGGAACAGCTGGCTCGACGTAGGCCTTGCCCCAGGCCTGAACCTGCCTCCACCTCCTCCACTGAGCCCCGCCTGCTGTGTATAAGCCACAGGTTGGGAGGCGGAGGTGTGCGGATTACAGTGGGATTGCACGCTCCAACCCCTAGTCCCGCCACCACCCACCTCCCCACACCCCGCTCAGGATGTGCTCAGTGTTACGGTCAGCACATTACCATCTGGACACATCCCTGACATATGGACAGCTGCCGGGAGCCTGCAGGTCAGGCAGTTGGAGAGAGTGAGAGAGAGAGAGAGCGAGTGAAAAAGTGATCATAAAAGAAGGACACTGCCAGTACGAGACGAAGGCATATAGGGGAAGAAAAGAAAATGTCAGTTAATTCTCTCTTGTGTCATCTTCTTAGCTGGGTGAATAAAGCAGAGTGCTGGGGCGAAATGTGGGACAATTGCTAACCAGCTCACTGTTGGTCTTTGGGTTGTGCTGAGGACATCTACTGTACTTCACCCCCTCTTCTCTTCTCAAACACTCTCTTTCTTTCCCTAATATGCATTCATCTCACCCCTCCCTCCCAGACAGCTGGCAGAGCCGCCCTGGCATCGTGGCTGTCCAGGCTTCCGCCTCCCGCACAGAGGATTTATAGACTCCCCTTGTCGCTTAGCTTTCTGAAATACCCTGAAATAATTCATATATTACACTGGCTGTGTGAGAGTCTGCCAATGTATGTGCACCTCTATAGTCTGTGAGTATGTGTTAATCGGGAGATTCTACCTGTCAGGAGTCCTTCTCTTGCCGTGCTCATTCATCTCCAGCATGATCTCAGAGGAGTCGAGGGGCGAACTGGCATTTGCGTCCAGGAGAAGCTGCTCATGTTGGGCGAGATACTGAGCTGGAGTCTGCTTGGCCAACCTGGCACAGTGGAGCAACTCTCTCTGCAGCAGGGGCAGGTTTGCCTTCAGTGGTGAAAACAAGGAAGAGAGACATCTCTGGATTAGGAAAGAAATAAGTTGTTGTAGGAAGGATATAGATTTATTGAACTGATGTTAAAGTGGAGAAGTGTTACGTGGACAAGAAGTGAACTAGAAACTCATGGTGGAACAATTAGATAGATGGGGTGAGAGTGAAATAATGCAAGATTAGGGTGAGAAAAAAAGAAAGTGATAGATGAAGAGACAGGATGAGATAAGACAGGTCCCTTGACACCTTCCTCTGCCATGTGTCTCTCTCTCTCCGGGGTATGTATACTGTGTGTGTGGGTGTGTGTGTCTGGGTGTGTGTCAGTGCTGTCAAATAGCTCTCTCAGACCTGTCTGGTTGATATAACGCAGCCATTGCTGCAATGTCCCAGATGTGGAGGATCATCGCACACCAGGAGGTCTGACACACTCACACACACCACTTTTAACGGACACTCACAAGCACATCCCACTATTTTTTACCTAGTACTACAAGTACAGTGCACACCCATAGGTTTTCCAATCAAAACAAGGTTTCCTTCCCTGCATCTCTGTGAACCTGTTTTGAGGCAGAAAAGGTGCAATATCTGCCCACACACAAACACACAGTCCTGAATACTGGCCATATAGACAGCTGTAGAAAGCTCTGAGCTTGTCAGCTGAAGACATCAGGCTTGATTTAGCTCACATCAAATCTGTGCACAAGGATTTACCTTCAGGAACGGAATGACGAATGGCCTCAGAGGGAAGTTGGTGGCCTCATGAAGTTTGGAGTGAAACTCTTCAATGGTGAGAGTGGAGTTCTGCCCAAGAGAGTGGAGTTAGACAAAAAGTGGACACAAGAGTCAATTATAAACAAACTTTTATAACACTCTTTTACAGAGCCACCAAAGTCATGTAAGATAACTTTTTTTTGGATAATATGTTGTAGCCATAAGTTATTATGTGTTCTGCACAACAGAAAAAATATAAGCATTTGAGACTGTATGTGAAATACTCTAAAATGCATTAATTAACTGTATGCTATCATCAAATAATAAGTAGATACAAAATAAAGAGAAACTGCTGAATGAATGGATGGATGCACTGTAGTGTGGTTGGAAATAGAAATTCCACTTGAATACAATCAGAACTTACCACCAGCCCCAGCACAAGGCTGCGCACTCTCTCTCCAATCTCAGGCGATATGTCGTTGCCAAACTGCTGCAGCGTGGTCAGAAAGCGCTTCAACTTGCAGAGTTGTCGGGCACCGCAAGCTGGCGGGAGCTGCTGGTTGGAAAGCGAGGCCGTCGAGGACATGGCTGGCCCATTACTGAAGCCGTTGGGAGTGGATGGAGCACCGTTCAGTGATGTAGGAGAGTGGCTGCTCCCATTTAGCACTGCAGATAAACAGACAGAAGGAAAAGACAATGTGAATTGGGTCAGTAGTTTTGGAGGGGCCTGGGGGGCATCTGACAGATCTGGGGGCGTGATGAGGGCAGACGCAATTATATCCTGCTGATAGAGGAGTGTGTGGTTAAGATTTAACATGAGTAAATCAACCAATCAATTTGACATCATTCCTATAGTACATGATGAACAAAACGACTTCAGCAGTGCAATTTTCTGCCACTTTCACTGTGCTGTGAGCGTGTGTTTGTGTGTAACTTCAGCTGTCTAACAAGTGCTACCATTTGACCCCCCCCCCTCCATTGCCCCCTATATCACTCTATTCCACCCTGCTACTCACCCTACCCCCCTCACTCACTAGGACACAACTATAAGAGGAACTTGTTAAAGAGGTGCCAAAAATAGTCCTGTGGCCTGTGTTACTTTTATTCCAATAGCAGGTGTGTAGCTAAATCTGGCCCTACACATGTCCACCAGCTGAAAGTAGATTTGCAGCTTTAAGGTTCAGAATAGACGCAGCATTCATACACATATATAATCACTCACATACTCTCTGTAATGCAGGCACAAACAAATTCACAAATAAGCTGGAGCTCACATCACACACATACAAACACACACACACGTTTGACCTTTCCCCTGTTTTCATTTCGGAGCCAGATGACATCGTCAGTCTGATATGATTTCCCTGAAAACAAATCAAGTTATTTTATGTAAGACTCCTTTTCCGTTTCCTGTTTCTTATTAGTGTGTCATATTTTCTATATAAATTTATGTGCATTATATGTGTGTTTAAATAACTAATGATGACCAAATTTCATATTTTCTATCAGATTAAACATATGGTGATCTTTGTATGTGCCTGTAATAAAATAAGTGTATTTCATTAGAGCAGCATATGCAAGCACTTACACTGAGCACTTCATCCAAACTATAATCTTACTGCCACTGCAGCAACTTAATCTTTTCAAAATGTATTTACAGCACTCTGCACTGAGCCACTGTGGATGTTGTGCTCATACTTGAAAACAAGACTATTAACAGTTTAGTTGTTATTATTATATAATACCATATTATTTTATATAATATTTTAGTTCCTGTGGTTCCTCTCAGGCATGCTTGTTGCTTGGTTGAGGGGCCTGAACACATATGGACTGACCCATGTGATCCCTACAGGCAGCACTTGTGTTCTGGTTTTAGAGAGAGGGAGAGGTGCAAGGAGAGAGCTACACTGCTGACCGTCCGCCACAACAGGTGAAACAACATGGCCTGTCATTGCTATATAGGGAAGAAAATAGTCTACACACCGCATCGCCACCCTGGCCACTGCCGCCCAACCAGCTGGTAAACAACACAGACACACATGCACAGCCAATGCCACAGCCGTACTTGCACATACGCTCAAAGACACTTGTCCCACTAGCAAGGGCATTCTGCACACCAAAAGAAACACACAGTGACACACCTGACACACAAGTGACTTTAACACTTGTTCAACAGAACAAGGAAGACACACATATTTGGAATTTCTCTCCTTTTTCACAACAGATAAAATGTTCATGACAGCTGGCCTAAGAGGGACGAATGATTGTGTAGTCCACGGTAGATGGCTTCCGAGGTACTGCAGAATTTTGCTAATTTGTATACAGATTGACAAGTGAATCATTTTATTTTAGCATGTAGCAGGTCTTAACAACATGTCGAAACATAGCCAGTGAAATACTGTCATAACAAGAGTTATGCAACAAGCTCTCTGACTGGAATCAAACTGTAAACATTGTGATCCTAGCATATGATATGCATCCTAACCTCTAGGCTACAGTTTACCCCCATTTAGTACAGCTTAAATCTGGATCCCAAAATGGCATTTGACCTACAAATGACTAAATCTATGCTTACATACGTATGCCAGCTCTGTAGGGAAGCATTATTTGCAGTGATGCTCACGTAACTATGGCTATCTTCTTATTGGGAAATCAAGGGTTAGAGCTGTTCCAGCGATGGGTTGCTGGTTCAGCAGATCACTGCTTTTCTCACACCTGCCTAGTTAACTGACTCTTCAGCACAAAAATACCATCTTCAAGTAAAACTAAAAACATGGTCTCATAGCATGAAAGCTAAACAACTGTGGGTCATGTACAGCTAGTCGTTTATGATCAAGATATTGGACTATAGATGATGCTAATAGTAAATGCATGTTTACTGTTGACTTAAGGTGTCATTAATCTTACAAAGTAGTCAAAAAGAGAATTGGTCCTTACTTGATTTACTGGTAGTAGGGGTGAATGAAGCATTGCGATTGGTTGCTTGGCTGACAGCCGGGGGTGGAGGAGGCATGGTGGGTGGGGTGGACCTGGGCTGGGTTTTCACATCCGCAGGTGAATCTGGCATTGTTCCAACCTTCTGCACTCTGCTACCTGTGATATGAAAAGATAAAAAGAAAGAGAGAGAGAGATAGAGAGTCATCAAGATGGAGCTCCTGCATGAAAAAAAACATCATACTTTCAAAGTGGAGACAGCTGGTTAGGGAGGAGAGTACTGACATTTTCACCTGAATACCATCGATTGTTTCCTTAAACCAAAAGCCCCATAAAAAGAACCAAAACAAATCAATGCAGGGAGTGGAAATGAATCCAAACTTGTATTGTGTCTCTCTTGTTGGAGATTCATGGGCCTGGGAGACATACAGTAACACCTGCTCACTCGCTCAGCTGCTGCTGACTGAGAGCCCCCCCCCTTCTCTTCCCTCTCTCTCTCTCTCGCTCCTTCACGCACACACACTCCATGTAGCTCTGACATCCCAATCAGTGCCCCTCCACTGTAACCTCCAACCCCAAAACACACACACACACACACATGTTCACTTGCACACACACCCCTCACTACTCCCCGCCTGTCCCCTCTCGTCCGCTAGTTCAGACAGCCGGCTTGACAGCCAGTGACAAGTGCAGCTGGATCTGCTGCTGTCTATCACTGTGGACTAGCTTTCAGCAGAGCTCCGTCCTGCTACCAGGAGCTTCACTGTCCTCTGCCAGACACCCTGCCAGGACCAAACAAGGCAAGGCCAGCCTGTGTAGCGTAAAGGGAATGGATGGTACAGCAAGGGACATGAGAAGAAAACATGACACGGGGTGGATGCTCCACGGCCACAAGCATGTGTGAGGACTGTTGCCTTACATTTTGTATTTGTGGCCTTAGGCAGTCTATACATACAGCATGTTTTCCGCAAAAACATTGTCATGTACCCAACTGTAACTAAGTCAGACTATATATATACACTATATTCTGGAAATAAGCAGCAGGTCTATTATTCCATGAGCTAAGAGTGTTGACTGTCTTTCTGTCTATGTGTCCGTCTGTCGGTGCAGCTGCTGGAACCAGATCTTTCTGCAATGTAAACTTGAGCTGAGAGGTGTGATGACTTTTGCAGCCTGTGAAAAGATAGCTTTAGAGTATGTGTAGATGTGTGTAACTGCCAGAGAGCACAGTAAATGTGCACTGTGCAATGAAAAACAATGGAATCAATATGCAGCCAGGTTTATAAATTAGTACAGAAATGTGTATGTGTGTATTTCTGCACAAGTACTATACACCACTATTAAGTGTAGTAAACATATGCATTCATAATGAAAGAGTAAGGAGAGAGGGGCCTTTTCTATGCTCTAGCAAAGCAGATGTAAATCACATTGTAGACTTTATGTGGCATTCATTGATTCTCAATAACTCTCTTCTCTCTGTTTTTCTTTTTCTCACTTTCCTCTGTCTCTTAATGCATTACAGGAGAAAGGGAGAAATAAATTAACTCTGCCTGTTCTCTCAAATAAGGAATGCAAACAAAAAAACAATCAAAAACCTCATTTCACATCCTCATATACACAGAGTAGAGGTCACTGAGTGGACCTGTCATGACACAGGACAGGGTAAGGGGTTATTAGTTGTCAGTGATTACGCCTTGTTGTACTACTAAAAATAACAATAATACCACCACCACTCCTGAAACCAAATAGCCAAATACCTTTATTAGATCTAAACACTATTCTGAACTGTATTGCAGTCATCAGACTAACATATTAAATCAATTTCAAATAATTTGTCTTTCATTTCACTCCTTATGAGCCAACTATAAATGCGATGTTTTCCTCAACAAAACTCCTGCCTCAGTTGGCCTCAGTCCGTGGCGTAAGCCTATTTTTGAGAGCTCATGTAGATGTGTTCAACAGCTGGTGTCTGTATTTAAAGAGTGCCACTCTGGAGTGTGCTGCACGAGGGCCATTGACACAGTGATCCTCAAGAACACGAGGGGCACTCCACTGTTTGCCCCACGCCAGACGCTCTGTACATAAACACACAAGGCTGTAGATCGAGGCAGACAGGGATGGCTGGTATAAATAGATGCAGCCATTCTCTTCTGAAGAATCTTAAACACACAAACAAGCTCTACGTGCTGCTGAATTTGTGGGCTGGTTTCTGCAGAGAGGCAGCCATATGTTTCGGTAAACCTCCTCTCTGATCAAATTTTGTGTGCCACTGTAGGACTCCCATATAGTATACATCCTAACAAAAAATCCTAACATGTATTGTACTGTTATAACCAATCGTACTAGTACTGTTCTAGACAGTAGTTCAGGAGGAGGGTGATGTAAAATCGAAATGCTTTCATGACTTTCTCTGTTTACAATGCAGCTATTTTTGTCACTTCCTCGGGAGGAGAGGAGAGGAGAGGAGAGGAGAGGATGATAAGGGGACTGTCCTGTCTGTGTGTCTGCTACCACCGTGGGATTATAGACAGCTGTTTAATCTGACCAGCTACAGGGACAGGGCACACACATACACACCACACTCTGGATTCCACTTTTAATACATTAGGAAGTCTGCTAGGTCTGCCACCCCATCTGTGACCATTTGTGCTCCCATTGTGCTTTGTGCTGAAGGACAAAACACTCAAACCAAGAGACACAGAAAGAGAGAGACTGGTATACCAGGTAAAACAGACCACTGTGGTTAAGGTCCAGCTCTGGACCATGCTCCTGTCTGCATAGCTGCTCCTATCCCCCCACCCTTTTTATCTGACTCTATGAGAGGAGCCACTTTGTGATCAATATGGCTGAGAATAGATCTGCTCAGGATGCAGATACGTTGCTGTTTGTCCCAAACACTCACTACTAAATATCATGCCGAAAACAAAACGATACAATGCAATCATTACCTACCTCTCTGCTGCTGTCTTCGTCTGTCTCTGTTTCTCCAACACTCTGAACAGCTGTATGTCTGCACATTTGACGTAATTGGGGCTAAAAGATTGCTCACCAAAGAAACAGTCTGCAGTTGGAGTTCTAAAAATGTTCTCTGTCTTCTACTCTCCCCTTGTGCCATGATGAAACAAGATGAAAACAATTCACAGTGAGGCACACAAAACCACAGATCAAGTACTGTACAACTGCGCACACACACAGAGAGAGTGCACAGTGGTTTGTCTAACTTTCTAAAGCCATTTTGGGGTCTCATTATAGATTTAAGGACATATGCCTTCACTAAAGTCCTTAAAAACAAACACGCATACTCATACACAATAAATACTATCATGTAATGACAAGCCATTAGACTGCCATTCAGATGCATATTGGTCTTATTTTACATTGGCATACATCAGTGGTTTGAATGTATGCATTATCTGTGTTTGTATGTGCGTGCATGTGTGTTCGTGCTTCCACTGGAAATACAGCTGCAACTTATTAGCTTTAGCTAACCACTGCAGAACAGTCCCCTTAAATCCCCCCTGTCTATTCAATCTCTTGTACTCCACAGAGACTCTCGTCAGTGACCACATAGCCTTAAAACTCTCTCTCTGTCTCTCGCTTCTTACATCCCTCCCTCCCTCGCTCCCTCCCTCCCACTGTAATTCCCCCAGTCTCCAGGAATGCTGTTGTTTTTAATTTCTCCCAGCTGCTCTGGCTGGCTGCCCGGCCGCCTGCCTTCCCACATCTGTTCCCTATCAGGCCGCTGAGGAGTCCACACAAACAGAGCCTGAGCCCCTGGCCCCCATCCTCCCACCAGGCTTTCATATCAAAACATGGGGATTTTAGCCCTGTGCCCTGGACCTTAGACTTCGGGGTAGCACCAACAGCATCTTTCTACTTTCATACTACCAGCCCAAATGCCATTCAAAAGAAAAAGACTGCTGGCATCAGTAGCAAAAGACCAATATGTCATCTTCCTGTGACATAGAGCAAACTAAATACAGTGCATATGTTCTTTCTTTGTGTCTGATGTACCTTGTTATCAGTGTGAAGTCTGAACTGTGTCACAGGTAAAATTGGAGTGTGTGTGTGTATATTTGTGTGTCAGCACACAGGCTGCTGCTGCAGACAGATCCCAGACTCCACTTCATCTTGAGCTGATTTAGAGTTCGGAGGCTTTAAAGCCCTCACTAATGACAGGGTGGGAGACAGGCAGTGCGTGCACAAACAGACACACACACACACACACACATAGATAGGCAGATGTATGCACACATGCTCACAAGTTTTTGGATGCATATGCTCATGCTGCGGACACAAACACATATTTTCCCCCTATGTTACTTGAGAATCCCTGTGATAGTACACATGCAGTGCCGGCTGAGCAAACATGTTGAACAAAAAAACAAACGGGGGGGGGGGTTGGGGGGGGGGGGTTCTCCTTAATAAGTGTAGACAAAAGCCCTCCTGTCTTTGATCAGATTACCATGAGCAAATCAATGACATGTCACCGTTTTCTTTCCCCAGACATTTTCTTTAAAACTGGTAAACTGGCAAGACAAACAAGGATAAGTTGAGGACAGACAGAGAGTGAGAAAGGATGGAAGACAATTTATCTAGGTCCAGAGGTGCTAAGGGTAGAGGAGTTGTACTTCTGTCTCTCTGAGCTGCAGGGATCCTGTCATACAGTGCTTATAACTGTGAAAGCTGTTATTGATGTAATTGTATTGAAGTTCTAGCGACCATCTGTTCTCCTTTGGGAGGGCCTGGCTCCTCTCGTCGGCAGTGAAGTGGTTATGTGCAGCATATCACTGCTGCCGACGTGCTTGCAGAGAAAAAACTTCCTTTTCAGATTTTCCCAACGGCTGCTAATAAAATCCAGATGCTAGACTGGAGCTGTTTCTGCCTTGCTCCCTCACTGCTCCCTCCTCCTTCTCTCCTCCCTCTCCATCTTCTGTCTGTCTACATCTCTTCTCTTAGTGCCCCCCCCCCTCCCCTCCTCCCCCTCCTCTTTCTTCCCTGTCCTTCTACATTGCTAATCATTTATTATTCTCTTTTCATCTACCTCTCCTCGTTTTGCTCCCTTCCTCTTCCCCCCGCGATCCATCCATCCTCGCCTCCTTCTTTCTCTCCAGCCACTAACCCAGAGCCATTCCTAAATAAAGGAAAGTATTTGTGAC